TCAACATTAATACTCCAAAACTCTAATATTTTGTTTTCAATACTCAGTAGAATGATTAGGGATAAGATCAACAAGGAAATAGAAAACTTGAAAACAGTATAAACCAACTAGCCTAAGCAGACATTTGTGGAACACCCCACCCAACTATAGCAAAATTCACATTTTTGTCAAGTGAAACATGCCCAAGGATAGACAATATGGTAGGCTGTTCAACTAGTCTCAATAAATTTAAAATACTGAAATAATAAAGTATGTTTTCTAATTGCAGTGGAAAGAAATTAGGTTTTTTAATAGAAGGAAATTTAGAAAATGTATGAATGTGTGGAAATTAAATAAAATTCTAATAATAATAGGTCAACGAAGAAGTCATAAGGGAAATGAGAAAAATACTTTGAAATGGAAGAAAATGAAAACAGCATACCAATGTTTATGGAATGCAGTGAAAACAGTGCTAAGAGGTACATTTATAGCTGTAAAGGACTATATTAAAAAAGAGGAGAGCTTTCGAATCTTTAAGTGAGTTCTACCTTAAAAACAAGAAAAAGAAGAGAAAACTAAACCCAAAGCAAGTGGAAACGAGGGAAACATAAAGATTAGAGTGGAGATGAATGAAATTGAGACTAGAAAAACAATAAAATGAAACCAAAAGTTGATTCTTTGGAAAACTTAACAAAATTGACACACTTTTTGCTAGAGTAACAGAAAATGAGAGCGAAGACTCAAATTACTAAAAGCAGGAGTTAAAGAGGGAATGTTACTACCAACTTTACAGAAATAAAAAATGGCTATGAGGAAATACTATGAGCAAGAGTATGCCAATAAATTAAACAACCAACATGAAATGGAAAGGTTCCTCTAAAGACATAATCTACCAAAACTGACCCAAGAAGAAACACATCTGAATATATCTATAACAAGAAAAAAGATTAAATTAGTGATGAAAAATCGTCCATAAAGAAAATACCAGGCCAGATGTCTTCATTGTTGAATTTTATCAAATGTTTAAAGAAGAATGAACACCAATCCTTAACAAACTTATCCAAAAAATAGGAGTGAAGCTTCCCAATTCATGATAGGAGCCCAGTTTTAACCCTGATACTCAGACACATACATTGCAAAGAAAACTGTAGACCAATATACCTTATGAAAACAGATGCAAAAATCCCTAACAAAATACTAGCAAATTTAATATAGCAATATATAAAAAGGATTATGCAACATCAGCAAGTGGGATTTATTCTACTAATGCAGGTTGGTTCAAAATACAAAATTAATCAGTGTAATGCATCATATTAATAGAATAAAAGACAAAAGACACATGATCATCTCAATGGATGTAAAAGCACTTTTCACAACACCCTTTCACATTAAAAACATTAACCAATTGAGAATAAAAGTAAACTTCCTCAACTTGATAAAATGCACAGCTAACATCATAATTATGAAGACTGAATGCTGTCCCCCACCCCAAGATTAGGAACAAGATAGGAATGTCCACTTTCACCCCTTCTATTCAACATTGTACATAAGTTCTAGCCAGGGAGAGAAGACAAGAAAGAGAAATAAGCATCAAGATTGGAAAACTATCTCTATTCCCAGATGGCGTGAACTTGTATATTGAAAATCCTAAAGAATCCATGAGAAAATCTATTAGAACCAATAAAATATATTCGGCAAGGCTGCAGGATAAAAACTCAATACACAAAATTTAACTGTATTTCTATATACTAGCAAAAAGCAAATCAAAAGTGAAATTAAGAAATCAATTCCATTTACCATAGCATCAAAAGGAATACATTTAACTAACAAAGTGTAAGAATTGAATACTGAAAACTGTAAGACATAATTTGAAGACATTTAACAATACCAAAATAAATAGAAAGAAATCCCATGTTTATGGATTGCAGGCTTAATATTGATATCAATAATCTCCCCAATGAACTACAAATGTAATCCCAATCAAAATTCCAATTGCCTTCTTGAAGAAATAAACAAACTGGTCCTAAAATTCATATTGAAATCCACAGAACCCAGAATAACCAAAACAATCTCAAAAAAGAACAACAAAATTAGAGGACTCATACTTCTCAATTTCAAACTTACTGTAAAGTTACAGTAATCGAGATATGAGATATTGGTACAAAGATAGATAGACATACAGATAATTGCAACACAATTGAGAGCCCAGAAATAAACCCACATATTTATGGTAAATTGATTTTCAAGAAAGCTCAAAAAATGCAAAAGAATTAAGTTGTACTACTATCTGTATCTCACACTATACACAAAAATTAACCTGAAATGCATAACAGACCTAAATGTAAGGCCTAAAACTGTAAAACCCTTAAAAGTAAACATAAGTATTTGTAACCGTGGACTAGTCAATAGTTTCTTAGCTATCACATCAAAAGCATACCCAATAGAAGAAAAAAAAAATAGATCAATGGAACATCATTAAAATAAAAACTTTTGGCTTCAAATGACACCATCAAGAAAATGAAAAGACAACCCAAAGAATGTGACAAAATATCTGCAAATCATATATCTAATAGGGACTTGTGTATATAAAAGAAAACCTCTCACACTCAAACATGAAAATACAGATAATTGGCCGGGCATGGTGGCTCACACCTGTAATCCCAGCACTTTGGGAGGCCGAGGCGGGCAGATCACGAGGTCAGGAGATCGAGACCATCCTGGCTAACATGGTGAAACCCCGTCTCTACTAAGAATACAAAAAATTAGCCAGGCGTGGTGGCAGGCGCCTATAGTCCTAGCTACTTGGGAGGCTGAGGCATGCAACCTCACCAACATCAGTTGTTTTTTGACTTTTTAACAGTAGATATTCTGACTGGTGTGGGATGGTATCTCATTATGGTTTTGATTTGCATTTCTCTGATGATTAGTGACGTTGAGTATTTCTTCATGTTTCTTGGCCACTTCTATGTTTTAAGTGTCTACTTATGTCTTTTGGCCTTATTTATTTATTTTTTTTTGAGATGGAGTCTCACTCTGTTGCCCAGGTTGGAGTGCAGTGGCGCGATCTCAGCTCACTGCAAACTCTGCCTCCTGGGTTCATGCCATTCTCCTGCCTCAGCCTCCCAAGTAGCTGGGACTACAGGTGCCCGCCACCACGCCAGGCTAATTTTTTTTTTTTTTTTTGTATTTTTTGGTAGAGACGGGATTTCACTGTGTTAGCCAGGATGGTCTCCATCTCCTGACCTCCCAAAGTGCTGGGATTACAGGCGTGAGCCACCGTGCCCAGCCATCTTTTGGCCATTTTTAATAGGGTAGTTTTGCTCAGCCTGCTACCAAAACCTGGCAAAGACGCCACAAAAAAAGAAAACTACAGGACAATATCCCTGATGAACATAGACGCAAAAATCCTCAACAAAATACTGGCAAACCAAATCCAGTGGCACATCAAAGAATTATTTCACCATGATGAAGTAGGCTTCATTCCTGGGATCCAAGGTTGGTTCAATATATATGAATCAATAAATGTGATTCACCACATAAACAGAATTTCAAACAAAAACCATATGATTATCTTAATAGACATGGAAAAGTTTTGATAAAATTCAACATCCCTTCATGATAAAAACCCTCAAGAATCTAGGCATCAAAGGAACATACCTCAACATAATAAGATCCACCCATGACAAACACATAGCCAACACTATACTAAATGGGCAAAAACTGGAGCCATTCCTGGTTGCCCACTCTCACCACTCCTATTCAACATAGAACTAGAAGTCCTAGCCAGAGCAACTAGGCAAGAGAAAGAAAGAAAAGGCATTTAAACAGGAAAAGAAGTCAAACTATCTCTTTGCTGACAATATGATTCCATACCTAGAAAACCCTAAAGATACCACCAAAAGACTTTTGGAACTAATAAAATAACACCAGTAGTTTCAGGATACAAAATCAGTGTACAAAAATCAGTAGCATTTCTACCAATAATGTTCAAGTAAACCGCCAAATCAAGAACGCAGTCCCATTTACAATAGCCATAAAAAAATAAAATACCGGCTGGACGTGGTGGCTCACACCTGTAATTCCAGCACTTTGGGAGGCCCAGGTGGGTAGATCATGAGGTCAGGAGATTGAGACCATCCTGGCTAATATGGTGAAACCCTGTCTCTACTAAAAACACAAAAAATTAGCCAGGCGTGGTGGCGGGCGCCTGTAGTCCCAGCTACTCGGGAGGCTGAGGCAGGAGAATGGCGGGAACCCGGGAGGCAGAGCTTGCAGTGAGCAGAGATCCCGCCACTGCACTCCAACCTGGGCGACAGAGCAAGACTCTGTCTCAAAAAATAAAATAAAATAAAAAGTAAAAAAATAAAATAAAATACCTAGGAATACATCCAACCAAGGAGGTGGAAGATCTCTACAAGGAGAACTACAAAACGCTGCTGAAAGAAATCACAGATGACACAAACAAAGGAAATACATCCTGTGCTCATGGATTACAAGAATCAATATTGTGAAAATGACCATACTACCCAAAGCAATCTACAGATTCACCATTATTCCTATCAAACTGTCAACGTCCTTTTTCACAAACTTAGAAACAATGATTCTTTGGACTATTTAATGCTCAGATTGTGTTTGGAATGAGCTGACCAGTGTGGTCACCATCTGGGAGAAGTCAGGAAGCCCTCACATCCTCTATGAGCAGAGGTGGGTTTCTCTGTGAAGGAAGTCTGATGATAATGCCCACTCAGGTTGTCTAGCTCCTCCCCACTCCCACAGCAGACTCGGGGTTCTGGGGCCATGGGCTTGGGTAGGGATTTGGAGTCTGGGCTGACGGAAGGAGCAGGGTGAGCAGTGGCCAGACGAGCACTAGGGCGTGGGATGGAGATGCCAGATGAGAGCGGAGGGTTTGAGCAGAGGGCAGGAAGCAAAACTTGCAGAGACTTCCTGAGCAGCTGAGTGTCAGCTGGGGGGCCTAAAATATCCACTGGGTTCCTGGGGACAGGGGAGACACAGTCACAGGTTCTGAGCTGGCTGAATTATGGGTGTCTTAAGGGCAGCCAGAGCCCTGATGGGTGAGAAGGCATCCTTGAGAAGTGGCCTCCTACACCTGTAAGAATATGGGTAGAGAGGAAAGGAAATAGCATTTTGTTGGTGCTGGAGGCCACAGGGCAATAGGTGGGAAGCAATAGAGGCAAGAGATGTAGATATGAGCATGATTGCAATTCCCTGGGGGAGGAACTTTCAGAAGGATAATGAAGGATGACATGAGGATGCTCATCATGTGCCTGGCATGGTGTTAGGCATGATTCAAGGATTCCTCATTTAATTCCCGTAACAACGCTATAGGACAGGTGCAATTATGACATCATTGGAGATGAGAAAACTGAAGCTGAGGAAGTAGAAGTTAGTTACCCTGGTTCTCTCAACTAGTAGGTGCAGAACTAGGATGTACAGACCAAGTGCTACCCAGAGAGAAGACTCTGCTGAGTGCCTGCAACCAAGAGGTCTTGGAAGGTCTCCTTCACCCTGGCTTAAGAGTAACAGGAGGAAGATACACTGGAAACAATGGCAGCACCGGGCATATCTCTGGGTCCTTGCTCGATTAGACTTTTCAGTCTCTGTCTCATACTTGCCAGCTGCAAGCTCTGGATTTGGGAGGAGCTGAGAAGGAGACAGGCTGGAGAGGGAGGGGCAGCAAATCCAGGTATTGTTTCACTGAGATTAAGGACAGAGAATAATAGCCCATAAGTCTGTTTTGAACACTCAAAGTGCTTGCCCAGCCTGAAAGGCTGAGCTTTGAAATCTAAAACAAGTCGAATCGAATGTCTTTGAGAGCCAAAATGGAGAAAACTAATCAGCTTAGAATATAATGTATACCAAGGCACCTGCAGCCTCGAAGAAAGGAAAAAAATCCAGGGATACATTAGACCTTAAATCTCCCATGATTCTGATAGATGTGTATTTTCGAAAAGGAATTCTTTGTGTGTGTGTTTTGCTGGGAGAAACTGGGCTGTTCAAAGCTGTTTTGGGTGATGTGGGTTGGGGGGTTGCATTTTCCCCGTGCTCTCGTGTGCATTCCCCCAAAGCCACCATGGACATTGTGTCAGGGGCTGGGGCAGATCTGTGGTGCCTAAGGGATTTCTTTATAATCTTTCCAAAAGCATGTATCGGTGTTCATGTTATCCAACTAAAAGCATGTAATCCGTTCTATACTGATATTTATATTAAAGGCCTCACAATATGAAGACTAATGTGGATGGGATATGTAATTTGATGATTAAATGATATGGATTTCACAGTGGGGAATGTATTTTCAGATTCTAATTAGAGCCAGACTGAATCCTGTGGATTCTTGTTAACTCACATGGATTATCTTGTACATTACAATTTTTTTTTTTTGAGATGGAGTTTCGCTCTTGTTTCTCAGGCTGGAGTGCAATGATGCAATCTCAGCTCACTGCAACCCCTGTCTCCTGGGTTCAAGCAATTCTTCTGCCTCAGCCACCAGAGTAGCTGGGATTACAGGCACCCACCACCACGCCCGGCTAATTTTTGGTATTTTTAGTAGAGACGGAGTTTCACCATGTTGGGCAGACTGGTCTTGAACTCCTGACTTCAGATGATCCGCCTGTCTTGGCCTCCCAAAGTGCTGGGATTATAGGCTTGAGCCACAGCACCCAGCCAGTACATTATAATATTAATAAAACTCTTTTTCCTGTGTTATTTCCGGAGAAGCCAGGGAACCTAAGTGGGTGACTGGATTGAATGACTTTCCCCTGGGAGTTCCCAGTCTCTGGGGCCCGAGGACAGGTCTGTGGCTGATGCACACAGCATGGGAACCCTCACCAAAAGTCACCAAAGATCACAGGATTCTAGGGAAAGGACTCAGGCTTCCGATGGTGGCCGAAGAGATGTCCTTGAGTCCTCTTACCACCCCACGATCCCAGGAATCTATTTTCTTGAGGAGGTTACTCGGTGCACAGGCAAGGGAGAGACAGGACTCGATATTTCTGCCAAAAGAGAGGATCCTTTCTCGGTGCTAAAAATGTGCAGTGATCAGAATTGCTGTTGACTTAGGTCATCTTCATCCCAGTGACAGGGCGGCCACAGTACACTTTTTTTCAAGGTATTAGATCAAATACCCTTGTGGCAAAACAAACCAGGATCTCAGCTAATCGAGCATGCAGATGTCACCAATCCATCAGAGTCGTTAGTACGCACTAGCTCAGGACCTCCGAGGCTCTCGCCTACTTAGACGGGAGAAGTGTCTGAGAATCAGCAAAGGACCTCTTCCCATCCAGGTCACCTACAGGCAGTGCCCCAAGTCCTGAGGAGGGGGCCACTCACATTCCACTGAAGAAAGAAGCTCCAGCACAAAGCATCCAGGATGGAACCAGAAACTGGAAAGCTGACAGCTCCACCCCACGTAATCCAACCTCCCCACCTCTCCCTGACCCCATCCTGCGGTGTAAATAAATAATTGAGAAAACACATTTTCTCCTGAAGTTTGTTTAATTTCCTATTTCTAGAGACCGGGAGAGCACATGCATTGTTCTTCTCTGCTGAAGACAGTTTTCATATAAATAAGGGATTCACTGTGACTCCTTTCACTGACGTTAAAATTCCATTTAAAAGTAAATTGAGTTCCTGAAATATATGTATTGGCAGCAGGGGCTACCACAGCTGGTATTACATTTTACATTTAACATAGTGCTGTTTGCTTTGACAGATTCCAGACTTTTTCCTACATAAATCAATAGAGTGTTGTTTGAAGAGCTCAGATCTATCTTTCATTCTTCCCCCTACTCCAACCCTGTATTCTGAAACCCATAAAGAAGTAACTTTCTAGCAGGTGTCATTTGGTTGGAGAGTATTATTTACAGCATTGGACTGACTGCAACACCCTCTGTAACTGTAAACTCACACAGGAAATGCCAGGAGGAAGAGCCACGATTTTGCTTCTGAAAGGAAGCGTTCTAATGCATTTTTTAATGGTATGTCCATACATTTCATATGTATGGACAAGCATGTACGTGTGTGCACATATATGTAAGTATGTGTGGGCATGTATGTATGCTCATATATGTGCATGTGTAAGCACATGTGTGTGCACGTGGGTATGCAAAAGTGTATGTGTCCATGTGCATGTATGTGAGTGCATGTATACGCATTTTGGTGTGTGTAATCATATGTGATTTTTTTCATGACTCCTGTGACCTGACCATAGTGGACATAAGTATTCCAGGGAGCAGCCAGCTGAGGCAAGAGCCATCAGGATCAGGCTTAAGGGTCTGGAGGAGGCAGGGGATGAACACTGGTGGGAATGTAGAGGGTTCCCAGATGGTGTGACTTCTGCCTTTCAGGAAAAGAAGCCATGCCCCCACCTTCTCTCACCCTCAAGAAGCGGAGTACTGACCGGATAATCACATTCTGGGTGGGAGAGTTGGCCTCATTTTCCAGAGGATGGAGCTTGGAGCTCTACGTAAGCTCGTGCTGAGAAATGGGAGTCTCTCACTGGCCACATTATTTTTAATGTAACGGGAAGGTGAATCTTTGACTAGAATTTTTTTTTTTTTTTTTTTTTTTTTTTTTTTTTTTTTTTTTTTGAGACAGAGTCTCGCTCTGTAGCCCAGGCTGGAGTGCCGTGGTGCAATCTCGGCTCACTGCAAGCTCTGCCTCCCGGGTTCACCCCATTCTCCTGCCTCAGCCTCCTGAGTAGCTGGGACTACAGGCGCCCGCCACCATGCCCGGCTAATTTTTTTTTGTATTTTTAGTAGAGACGGGGTTTGGTTTCACCTTGTTAGCCAGGATGGTCTCGATCTCCTGACCTTTTGATCCGCCCGCCTTGGCCTCCCAAAGTGCTGGGATTACAGGCTTGAGCCACTGCGCCTGGCCGACTAGAATCTTTTTCTTAAGACTAAGGACCCATAATTTTTTGCCCCAATGGAATGACGTGACTTGCAGCCTTATGTTCTGCAACTGGCTGATACATTTAAAACAATGGGTAAGTAAAGAGCCCGCTAGGACCTTTGACTATTTGACATTTTAGATGAAGCCAGAGTTGCCAGGTCATGATGGTGCTCCCTGACGGCTGCAAGTGAAAGCAAGGGTGGGAAGGAAAAAGAGCAGATATTTCCGGCTAGGAGCTGACCCAGGTGTTCATGTCTGCATAGCCCAGAGAATGAAGCAAGTACAGAGCTGTTGCAGTAATTCTGATATATCAGGAGATCTTCATTGTTCTCCTCCCCAGCTTGGCTTTGAAGAGAACATTTTTTCTTTTTTCTTTTTTTTTTTTAGACGGAGTCTCCCTCTGTCGCCCAGGCTGGAGTGCAGTGGCGCCATCTCAGCTCACTGCAAGCTCCACCTCCCGGGTTCACGCCATTCTCCTGCCTCAGCCTCCCAAGTAGCTGGGATTACAGGCGCCCGCCACCACGACTGGCTAATTTTTTGTATTTTTTAGTAGAAACGGGGTTTCACCGTGTTAGCCAGGATGGTCTCAATCTCCTGACCTTGTGATCCGCCTGCCTCGGCCTCCCAAAGTGCTGGGATTACAGGCGTGAGCCACCACACCTGGCCTTTTTTGTTTGTTTGTTTTAATCTGAAACCTTCTGATTATAAAAATTCACAGAATATATTATCGCTTTCTGTAACTTAATTTTTTGTGTTAACTTGACTGGGCTAAGGGATGCTGAGATAGCTGGTAACACATTGTTTCAGGGTGTGTCCATGAGGGCGTTTCTGGAAGAGATGAGCGTTTGAATCAGTGGACTGAGTATGAACCTCATCCAATCCATACAGGGCCCAGATCGAATAAAAAGATGAAGGGCGCTTTGTGCTCTCTCATCTTGAGCAGAGTCAGCCCTCTTCTCCTGTCCTCAGACTTTGGAGCTCCTGATTCTCAGGGCCTTCAGACTCTGGGACTTACACTAGCGCCTGACCCCAAGCCCCATTCTCAGGCCTTTGGCCCGACTGAATCGCACCATCAGCCTTCCTGGCTCACCGGCTTGCCGGTGACCTATAGTCACTTCTCATATTCTCATATTGGGACTTCTCAACCTTCATAATCATGTGAGCAAATTTCCACAATAAATCTCCTTTTATCTATCTATCTATCTGTCTATCTATCTATCTATCTATCTATCTATCCATCCATCCATCCATCTATCTATCATCTATCTACCTATCTACCTACCTATCCAACCATCCGTCCATCCATCTATCATTCTGGTTCTGTTTTTCAGAGAACACTAACACACTTTCCTTGGCTCTGTTGTCTAGATTTTCACATACTTTATTCTTTTCAATAAATGATATTCATTAAAAAGAGAATCATATGTGATCTAAGTTAGAGAAAAGAAAAACAGCTCTGAGTAGTCTGAGCTCTGTGACGTTTGCAGGCCCAGAGAGAAATGAGCAAGGGGCTTCAGTCATGCCCCCTACACCCATGTCCAGGGGCTATTGTTTAAAGTCATTTTGTTCCCAACTAGCTGTCTAGCCCATTATCTTCGTGTTTCTGGAATTTGTGATACAAAGAACAATGTAGAGCCAATCAATAGCTTATGCTACTTTAGTGAAATTCCTGGAAAACAACTCAATAATTTCCTCTTCTTCTCCTTTGAAAATCCACTGGTAACTACCACTAATCAGAGTGTATATCCAGGGCAACTTGAATCTAGGTTCCAGGGTTGTAATTCTCAGGTTTGGCCCATATAAACTCTCTACTTACATTAATTTTGCCTCAATTTCTTTGTTTTAGATTGACAAATTGTATTCCTTGCCAGTCGATGTATTCTAATTTCGGGGTCAGAAATGAGAGTCACTCCTGTGACTCCCTAGGAAAGAGGAGTTGTCTCTGTCCCCTTGACTCCACCATCACTGCCCACATTGGCCCACATGCTGGAGCACCAGAAAAAGCCACATTTTCACGTGGGTTGAGCTTGGAGCTACACATACGTTTTTCCTAGGAAATGAGAACTCTCTGGTCTAGTTCTTATGTATTCTGGAATATATATATTTGGTCTTTCTTGATGGAGCAGAATAATCTGAAATTTAGTTTCTTGCAGGGAGAGAAAAGCAGCTACTCAGATCCCAGGCCTGGACAAATGAATGTCGGTCAGATCCAGCCCCAGCCCCGCGTAGTGGAGTTGTGCTTTGGGATTTGGGATAAAGCCTTAGGCAATTCAAACATTCCTTAGACTTTGATTTTGCTAATAAATGTCCCTCAGAGACATAGAAGGGGGCTGTGATCAAGGGTTTAGTATGAACACTCCTGACTCCTTGATCAAACTCTCTCAAAATACTTTCTGGTACTTTCTATCTCATTATCTAAGAGCTCTACCAACAGGTTCCATGAAGAAATAGATCGTGGGAGGGAGGTGGGAAGAGAATTTAATCCATCAGGATGCGTGGCTAAAAAATTGAATTACAGGAATCTCACTTAAATTCACCAGCCAAAGAGAAGTAATTGGTTGAGACAGAGGAAACGAATCCCATCTACTATTCACTGTCCCTTGGACTGTCTAGCTGAATTCTCTACAAAGATGAGATAGGAGTGGTGAGACAACTGGCTGGCTCTACGGAGGTGTCCGATGAATTGTTACCAGCGTGCTTTGCTCTTCCTCCTGCTAGGTATGCTCTAAAATGAGACCTCCAAAGTGCAGAGCATAGAGCACCCATCACTAGTATCCAAATCCTCCTCATTCCTCAAGATCCAGGTCAATTTCAAAACCTCCCCTGTGTGCCAGGCCATAGTTATCCTTCCAGCGCCACTCAGACCGTGATGTGACTGCTCGTGCTGTTTCTTAAGTGCTTATTTTCATCCGATAGGATTCCTCTTCTCAACTAACTTATAAACATCTTAAGTGTCACTACCGTATTTTATATTGCTCTGTTCCTTACACAGAGTTTAGCACAGTGCCTTGAATATAACATGGGCTTATATACCATTAATGGATTTTTAAAGGAAGAGTCTAAAAAGCCTGGGATTGAAAATATCTGCTTGGATTTTTGGTTTAAGAAAAAGGAAAACCAACTGCTCAAATCTTCATCTGCAAGGCTAGTCCTGAATTGCAGTGAGGGTTTCCTTTGAAGTGTTCCTGGCACATTATCACTCCCACCTACTTATCTCAAACTTCAGTAAATTAGTAGAAAATTATCTGTTTTTTGGATAGAAAGTCCATCAATTCAAAATACATGGTTTTTTTTCTTTCATTTTTAACCCTAAAATTGGGATGCATTTTCAACTGATGGCCCTTATAACTGGCAGCACAGTTTCCCCATCTTAATGTTATATCAAATAATGGTGCATCTTATAATCAATGGTGACTTAAAGCTGATGAAATATGGTGTGTTTACATCTATCATTTATCATAGGCTTATCTAGAAATTAATCTATGCAGTGGCCTTTGCATGATCAATGAATGTGGAAGGTGTCCATAACTTTTATAAAAATGGGACAGTCCTGGCCGGGTGCAGTGGCCCACGCTTGTAATCC